GGGGCGTGGCTTCTGGCCCCGCCCCTCTTGCGGCGGGGAAGCGCTTTGTCTCTGCCGGCGTCGCGCAGACGAGTCCATCGGGGTTAGCCTAACCCTGGGTTACGGAACCAACCGCAAGGGGATGGGCCTGCGCGTCGCGCTCAAGCGTCAGCCTCGCTTCGCCGGAGGCAGTTCGCGCGGCAGGCGGGCGCGGGGGTGTTCACCCTGGTTTCCTGACTAAGCCACCCTTGGCTGGTTTGGGCAATCAACCCGGCAGCTCCCTGAACCCCCAAATGATGGTTTCTGCAACACCCTAGCTGCGCACAGGTATTATGCTGAGCCTGTGATATCTTAACCATGGCTTAAGGAATAAAAGAGAGTTGGCTGGTTTGCAAAGCGACAGCCACAAATTACGGCTTCTAATGCACAAACAGCATGCTTGCATTAAGCCATGGCAAGCCATAAACCAAGTCAAGCCCCTTAAGGCTTGGCACATGGTAGGTGAAGCCTGTGTCTGATATTTGTCTTAGATGTTTTTTATTACATCTGTGGTTACATTTTGGTTACACTGAATTACATTTGTAACTAAAAAGCACAGTCCATTCTTATACAGGTAGTCCTCTTTTAACAGTAATTGGGACCAGAATTTCCGTCACTAAGCAATGCGGTCATAAAGCACAACATCACATGATCATGCCATTTAGCAACAGAAATGCCAGCATCTATGGTTGCCATTGTTAAGCGAATCACCTCAGGTCGTTAAGTGAAGACATGTGGTCACCGTTTGTGACCTCCTGCCAGCTTCCCCATTGACTTCGCTTGTAGGAAGCTGGCAAAGACGGTCACAAACGGTGATCATGTGACTGCGGGATGCTGTGATTTCAGCTCAGGGTTCGTCTCATTTTCTGTTTCCAACTACCCTGGGGCTGGATTAAGAAAGGCATTCATTGTCATACAAAGTCCTGCCAAAGATAAATTGATTTATTTAGACTGCATGCAGCCCATTCTTTGGCAAACACTATCAAAGTAACCACAAATGAGATAACCCAATAATCATAAAGCAAAAGAGAGAAAGAAAAAAGGAGATCCATAATTCTGCCCAAGTTATTGATTCTAGGGCGAAAAACTAGAACCTAGTTTTGTTGTATTTTTACTTTCTTTATAGTACAGCTTACCACTGTTCCCAATGCGGTATAGTTTATTTTCAAGATACACAACATTCGCTTGGCCTTGATTTATTTTTTTAATGGGGAGCTAATTGTGAATGGCGACATAAAGTGTACCCTTTTCTGCTTGTTTCAGTCTTGATAGTAATGAGAAGTTACCTCTAGGCAAATGGGACAAATTAGTTCATGACATAAAGAAAACGGGTTGGTTTCTACTGGTTTCTGCTGGATTTATTGGAGGTGACATAATTACAGAATTAAAGGGAAACAAGCCATATCCGAATGGACAGTTCAAGGAATTCTGTACCGTATACATTTTGGCAGCTACAGGTTAGTTACTGATTTCCCAACTGGGGCTGTTCTTGACAAGGGCAGGATTTCTTCATCTGCTTAAGATTTCCGTGGCTGTCCATCAGCATGGCTTCCAGGAGGGTTGGTAAGAACAAGCTGGAATGCAAATCCTCAAACCATGTATTAAACATGATTAAAATACTTTTAAAAATCCTGAATACATTTCTGACCAGGACAAAAAAGGTCATGGCAAAGCAGCAGGTGAGTCAGTCTGGGAAAGGACTAATGGTCACCTCCTCTCTTTTTTCAGATGTTGAAGGCCCTGGAAGGAAGCCTCCAGTGAAAATGTCACAGGCCATGTAGATTGTTACGATAAATATTTGCTTGTGCTCAGAAAAGACTCGAAGCTAGCGAAGTTCTTCCAGTGCTACCAACTTGGAAAAAATCAACCTGTTGTAATAGCTGTTGGAATTAACTGAACTTTCCCAGCAGTCATTGAAGTTAGCAGACATGAGAAATTGTCGTCATCAGCTCCAGCCAGTTTCTGTTACATTAGCTCAAGCTGGCAAATGACATCCTTTGCTACGTAATATTACGTGTAACGTTTTGTAAGGTGCCTTTTTCCCTCTTTTTCTTTGGGTATATGTGTAAGTTGGTGATTACCACTGTATGTTTGCTTTGTGACTTAGGCGCTATACACCTTCAAAGAGGCATCTGTTTCTATACCGGTATAGTTATTCATTTACAAACAAAGCAAACCTAGAGGGATTGCTAAACTGACTTTGCAGACTTCTCCATGACATCTTCCAGCCAGAAGGAACTGGAAGGAAACCAGATGGAACTGCAGTGCTGGATAGCAGTAAATACAACGAATGGAAATGATTCAGAACGAGGATGGCTTAAAAGGAGGGAGCAAATGCGTGGTGGTTGCATTGAACCCATATTGAGGAAGTGGTTAGATTTAAGGAAAAAATGAAAACAGTAGAAAAGTTTAAGAACTTAGAAGACTCTTCAGTAGCCACCATGGAAAGATTCTCAGTCCTTTTTATAGCCACACCTGCAGATTTGATAACCCCTTTGGTGGTTAAGCTGTTATAGCCGGTCAGTTGAGGAGAAAACTCAAATTCTCTTGGCTGACACAGTTCCTGGAGTATCCAGGAAGATAGCCAAGTTTTGTGCAATTACTATTTCTATTAGGAGATTAACTATTTATAACCCTTGTTATAATACATCTAATGCTGTTATATTTCTCCTTCCTATACCATAAATAAGAATAGGCAATTCAGAAAAATAAAAGTTCTAAATTAATCATATCATTTAATCTGCTACTTACGGATTTCAATATAGTATCACTAGGAGTATGTTTCATTTTAAT